TTTTTGTTTTTGTTTTGGTCTCCCCGTCATTTATTTCTGCTCTAATCTTTACTATTTCCTTTCTTCTTACTTGCTCTGGGTTTTCTTTTTGTTTGCTGTTTAGTTCTTTAAGTTATGAGGTTAGATAGTCAATTAGGAATTTTTCTTGTTTCTTGAGGTAGGCCTCTAGTGCTAGGAACTTCCCTCTCAGAACTGCTTTCACTGCATCCCATAGATTTTGTGTTGTTGTGTGTTAATTTTCATTGGTTTTCAGAAGTTTTTAATTTCTTTCTCGATCTCCTTGGAAACCCATTCATTGTTTAATAACATGCTATTTAGCCTTCATATTTTCAAATATCTTGGTATGTTCTTGTTGCAATTGATTTCTAGTTTCATGCCATTGTTATCTGAGAAGATGCTTGATATGATTTTAATCTTCTTGAAACTGTAGAGACTTAGTTTCCTGACATGTGGTCTATCTTTGAGAATGTCTCATTTTCACTTGAGAATAATATGAATTCTGTAGTTTGGGGGTATAATTCTCTGTAGATATCTATTAAATCTATTTGATCCAGTGTTTCATTTAGAGTCGTTGTTTCCTTGTTAAGTTTTCTGTCTAGTGGATCTATCCAGTGATGTCAGCGATGTGTTCAAATCCCCTGCTATGACTGTATTGCTGTCGATTTCTCCTGAGAAGTCTTCCAGAATATTTTTATATATGTTGGTGCTCCTATACTGGGTGCATATATATTTACCAAGGTTATATCTTCCTGTTGGATAGATCCTTTAAATATTATGGGGTGGCCTTTTTTGTCTCTAGTTATGGCCTTCATTTTGAAATCTATTTTATCAGACATGAGTATTGCTACTCCAGCACTCCAGCTTATTTTCCTTTTTGTTTGTTTGAAAGATTTTTTTCCATCCCTCCACTTTCAACCTATGTGAGTCTTCTGTTGTGAGGTGGGTCTCTTGTAAACAACATATATGTGAGTCACACTTTCTTTTTTTTTTTTTTTATCCTCACCCGAGGATATTTTTCCATTTTTTGTACAGATAGAGTGGGAGGGAGAGAGGGGAAAGGAGAGAGAGTGAGAAACATCGACGTGAAGGGACACATCGAGTGGCCGCCACCTGCACGACCAACCAGGGCCGGGGACAAACTGCAACCGAGGTACATGCCCTTAGCGGGAACCGAACCCGGGTCTCTCCGGACCGCAGGCCGACGCTCTAACCGCTGAGCCAAACTGGCCAGGGCACACTTTCTTATCCAATCAGCTACTCTGTGTCTTTTCATCAGAGTATTCAGTCCATTTACATTTAAGGTGATTATTGATATGTACTTATTTATTGCCATTTTTGTTTAGTGTGGTTATATTTTTCTTCCTATTTCTTCTACTAATTACAGCAATCCTTTTAACATTTCTTGCAGTGCTAGTTTGGTGCTAATATATGCTCTTAGCCTTTCTATTTTCTGGGAAGCTCTATTTTTCACCTTCTATTTTGAATGATGGCCTTGCTGAATAGAGAAGTCTTGCATTCAGATTCTTATTTTTCATGACCTTAATTACTTTATGCCATTCCCTTCTGACCTATAGTGTTTCTGTTGAGAAGTATGCTGAGAGCCTTATGGGGTTTCCTTTGTAGGTAACCTGTTGCTTATCTCTTGCTGCCTTTGGAATTTTCCCTTTGTCTTCAATTTTTGGCATTTTAATTACCATGTGTCTTGGTGTGTACCTGTTTGAGTTCTTAGTTTAGGCTCTCTGTGCTTCTTGAACTTGAATGCCTTCTTCCTTCACCAAGTTAGGAAAGTTTTCTGTCACTGTTTTTCAAATATAGTCTCTAACCCTTGCTCTTTTTCTTCTTCTTCTGGAATTCCTATGATGCAAATGTTTTTATGTTTCCAGTTGTCTCACTGTTCTCTTAAGCTGTCTTCCTGTTTTTTCATTGTTTTTTTTTTTTACTTTTGGTTTTCTGATTGGTTGATTATTTTTACCCTGTCTTCTAATTAACTGATCCAGTCCTCAGGTTCCTCTACTCTTCTGGTTATGCCTTTCAATGTGTTCTTTATTTCTGCTATGTCATTATTCTTTTACACTTTGTTGGTTTTCAATGCTTCTATATCTTTTCTCATGGAGTTGATGTCCTTACTCATGCTGTTGAACTTCCTCAAAATCGTGGCTCCGAACACTACCTCTGATGACTTGTTTAACTGCATTTCATTTATCTCATCTTCAGTAGAGTTCTCTTGTTCCTTCATTTTGGATATGTTTATTTCACCATTTTGGCTATCTCACTGGGTTTTGAAGTCTGCCAAATTTTTCCTGTGGGTGTTGGTGTTCTGCTCTTTGTGGCTGTTTCTACTAGGTTTGGATGAGTGGTCGAGGACCCATGTTCTATATCACTCTCAAGTCTTACTTTTGTAGGTAGATTTGCAACCCCCCCCCCCAAAAAAAAAATCAGTTTTCCTCTAGTTTTTTGCCTGGTGACTATTAGTCTCAGTTATTTGATGAGCCTTTGATTGTAGCCCTTAGCTGAATGAAAAACTCCCTCAGGTGTTCAGGGTAAGAGGGTTTTTGGAGGGTGGGGCAGTTGTTGGTTGTTAATGAGCCTCAATTTGCATTTCTCTGGCCCAGCTGAGTCAGGTTATATCTCTGAGGGAGAGGCTGCTGCTTCTCCCCAGAGCTCCAGGAAGGAACAAGAAGGCTACCATCCTGTGTAGCCGCAATTCAGCAAAAACTCTAAGCACCCTCCAAGTCCTGGATGGTCCCACAGAGTTCCAGTCTAGTCTGCCCTCGCTCTGCCAGAGCCCAAAATGAGTGGCTGTAGCTAATTTATTGCAGTGTTCCACTCCTCTTCACTGTGGCACCATCTCGAGATTTTAACCCCACAGGTGCTGCTCAGAGCTAAAACAGCTGCTATCCTTGGGCTCCCAGTCTGCCCTCTCATCCCTCCACAGACCTACCAGGCTCGATTCAGGGTCCTTTTTTTCTGTCCCTGGTTATATGGTCCTCTCTTGCTGCTTTTCTGTTGCTTTTTCTCAATGATTTGTCTGTATTTTAACTGTAATTCCAGTTTGGTCCTGGGAGATGGTCTGTGTAGTGTCCATTCACTCCACTGCCATTTAGGAATCCTCCAGATTCACAATTTAGAAGGATCTGGGTGACTGCTGTGTGAAGAATAAGCTGTGGAACTCTATCCTGAAAAGTGTAGTCTCTCAGGTTTGCAATTTAGAAAACTCCTGGCTGCAGTGTGCAAAGAACAAATTGAGCATCCATACTGTCATTGCAATTTGGAGAGTGAAATGAAAGAGTAAGAGAGACATAGACAAACACAAACACAGTACACACCACACACACACACAGTCTGCAGTGATCCTTTCTTCACTCTGACACCAGAGTTTTTTAAGTTTGAAAGTTGCCAACCTGGAAATTAAATGAAACTCTGGGAAGCTAGGCATTGTTTTTTATATTTTGTTGACCACTAATTTTGATGGGAAGTTAAGTACTTGTCACTCTGCAGCTGCTGTCCCAACATCCTAGCCCTAAGACCAGGAAACTACTCCAAATTTTCAAACTGGAATTAGCCAAATAACCATAGCATTAAGTCTACAATAAGAATAGATTGAGAGAGGGAGAGAGAAAAAGTACTCACAAGATTTTTATTGTGATTACCAGGAGCTTCTTCCACCAAATTATGGATAGGTAAAGAAAGAGGAAATTGTTATATGTTTTAAAAGGGGTGAAAGGGCTAGTCTGCAGAAGACCAGACTTGAGTTCGTGGAAATGCTGCTAAGCAGCTGCATGATTTGGAAAAATATTGAGCCTCAGTTATCTTATCTGTTAAATAAGAGATTTGGACTAGAGTTTAATATCCCACAAGTTTTGTAAAGCACGAAGATGACACCACAGATGACCGGGACCCTGTCTCTATCTCACATGTGTCCCTCTGTCTTTCATTCTTTATTTTTTTTTATGAAGTAAAGTTGGCAGTTTTAAAACTTATAATGTCAAAAGATCTTTTAAAAATATGAGTATCCGTGGGGGGGGGGGAGAGATAAACCAAAGAACTTATATGCATAACCAATGGACATAGCCAACAATGCTGTAAAGGGATCAGGAGGAGGGCATCAATGGGAAAAGGAGAAACATCTGTAACAAAAATAAATTAATTAAAAATCATAATATGCATTGTAATTTTGTATCTCTCCTTCTGACTTTTTGGGTTGTATTTTCTGTGTCACTTTCTTCTTTGCCCATGCAATACTGGTTAAAACTTTTAATGCCCCAATTTCCTGTACGTATTTTAGCCTCTTTATTGTTACTCCTTCTTACTCCTTCTCTTTCTTCCTCCCTCTCTTCCATCAGTTCATTTCCTCCTAGTTCTCACTCACCCATTCCCACTCCCCATCAGAGATTTCTCTTGATCTGTGATTATCCCTACAGACATTGTTTGGTGCTGCTACTAGTGCACTTAGCAGAAAACAAAAAAACATAAAACGGACCTTAATGGCATGCCTAGTTACTTACTAGAATGCCATAGTTCTGTCTGAAGTCATCCCACACAACCCATAGAGCATTTATTTAGTGGGGCCCCCTACTTGCTTCTGTTTCTCTGATGGAGACAGTGAGGGTAGGCTCTAGTGACATCCCATTTTAGAATGTGCTTTGTGGGGGTCCAGCTACCAAATTACCTTCCATTCAATCTGACAAGTATTTATTGAGCACCTACTGTGTGCCCAGTGCTCAGTAAATTTCTCCAGGGACTCCTAGGGTCTCCAAACAATACAGCCTAATCTTGCCACAGCAGGAACTCAACATTATTGCACAGGCATTGTTCTGAAGGTTAGGCTGTGCTAAAATTACAGCCTGCAGAATTCATTCAACTCCTTTGGCTTGGAAATGAGGCCGAATTTTCAACAAAAGTGGGGAGTTGAATCAGACTAAGGCTTTAATTTAGTGCATATTCTCATTTGAACTTTGGAGTTACCTTGTGTGCATCAGAAGAGTAAATACATTGCTTACCTTCAGCAGAAGGTTTCTCTTGGGAGAGTTTTAGCATTTCCACAATATCACTAAATCCATAATCTGTCATTTTCAGTGCAAAATGGCCATCTACCACACACTTTCGAGATTTCAGCTTCCCATGAGCAAACTCTCTGTTGTGTAAGTAATTCATGCCCTGAAGATGATACAAACAGGATTTATCTAGCAACTTATTTTAACTATTTTGTGCTTTTAGAGCCATTTCCTGAGACTCTTAATGGCATGAGTTATGATGATCCAGAATTCAGCTATATATATATATGTGTGTGTGTGTGTGTGTGTGTATGTATGTATGTGTGTGTGTATATATATATATATATATATATATATATATATATATATAATCTCCAGGAAAAGCAAACTTTGAGAGCAAGAATCGTTTTCAGGTCCTTTTTAACTTTAAAATTTTATGCTTTGATAAAGAATCATATTTTGAATGTATAGAGAATTGTTTGTTATTGGAAGATTCACTGCCATTTCAAACACAGGATGGGTTCATACATATATAATTGCCAAGAAGCCCTGGCCGGGTTTGGTTCAGCGGTTGGAGGGCTGGTCTGCAGACCAGGGAGTCCTGGAATTGGTTCCTGTAGGGGTACGTACAAAAAAAAAAATAAAGATTCTGATCCCCACAAAGGTCTAATCCAATTCTCATCCACTATTGGCAGAAATGGAAATTGGTATAGCCTTTCGTGTGGGCAAACTGGCAATAGCTACCAAGATTGAAAATTTGTGTGTTCTGTGACGTATGGATTCTACTACTCCTCCAAAGAAATGCTTGGTCATCTGTACAAGAAGACATATACAAGAATTCTCATTGTAGCTCTGCTTTATAATATTGCATTATTGGAAATACAATAAATACCTATCAAGAAGGCACTGTTCAAATTGTGGTATATCCAAACTACAGAATGTTCTGCATAAATTAAAAATAATCAGATAGATCTATATGTATCAATAGGGAAACATCTCCAAGCTGTAGACTAAGTAAAAAAAAATAGTAAGTTGCAAAAGTATGTGACAGTATGTATTTATAAAAACAAACTCTATAATGTATACCAATACACATGAAATTAATTATAAGGGTAATCATCAAATTGTTAGCAGTGGCTAACTTTGGGGAAAGATTTGAAAAAGAATGAGTAAATGTCAGTATTTGTATATCATTTCATTTTTAAATTTAATTTAATACATTATTTTTGTAATTCAAAATAGACAATAAGAAAGAAGAAAGCTGAATACTCCTGATCTCTGTAGCTTGCTTGGCAACTTTATATGACCCTCAAATATGATCTAACAGAACTCTTTCAGATGGGTTTAATCATTCATATATATAAATATATTCATATTCTAGTGTAATCATTTTAGAACTATTTATGCCAAGCCTTGTTAAGTATCTGGCTCTATTTTGCAACCTGACATCCGTTTTGTAATTGTATACTTTATATCTTGTGTCCTTAAAGAGTCTGTAGTCCCCAGTATTTCCCAGCAGAGTCTGCAGTAGGTAAGATTTTGCTCAGGTTGTCTAATGCCTGGGTTTTATTCATGATGGGCCTGAGAGTACTATCATTTGTAGGTTTCTCCATTAACCCATAGGACCTTGCCCACAAGGTAAGTGGAAAAAGTACTAAAATAGAAATCAGGAGATTTGTATTCTGTCATCAACTCTGCCACTTAACAGTTAGCTCATAAATAGTATTTATTGACTACCCACTGTGTGTGGCAGATACTACATAAAAAAGTATACATCATTTATCTTCTCTGAGCCTCTGTAAAAGAAGGCTAATCATACTTATTTCATGGAGAATTGGAACAAGATAATGTCTATAAAGCTAGCTTGAAAAAAGGTTAGGCTATAACACAAAGGTCAAGACTATGATCAATATGCAAGAAGCTCAACAAGTCATTGATTATCCAGATCAGCCTTATAAAGATGCACATAGACATAAGTTGCATTTTATTCCAGGGAATTTATGAACACCTGTGAAGCCCATCCATATGCCTATCCATGATCCTTGTTGGATGTTAATAATCCTTGCCTCAGAGAATGAATATGTTGCCTGATAGACCCAATGGTCTTTTGGTTTTCTGGTCATGCTGAGACCCATATCTATACCTGTGTTATGACAAAACCCATCACCTATTCTAGACTGAACTACTTGTTAGAAGGCAAAAGCCACACCCAGCCAGTGTGGCTCAGTGCATTGAGCATTATCCCATAAACTGAGAGGACCTGGTTCAACTCCCAGTCAGGGCACATGCCTGGGTTGCAGGCTCAATCCCCAGAAGAGTACATGCAGGAGCCAGCCAATTGATGTTTCTCTCTCATGTGGATGTTTCTATCTCTCTCTCTATTCTCTCTCTAAAAAGAAATCAATAAAAACATATTTTTTAAAAAGGTAAAAGCCAGGAGATAGGGCTAAGCAGCACCAAAGAATCTGGAAATGAGCACTTTCCCACATCCAGAAAGCAGAGAAGTGGAATGGAAGAAAAGATTACTGAAGGTGAAGAGTGATCAAGTCCAGAAGGATGTAAAAACAAATCTGGGTGAGTGGCAGGGCAAGTATAACCTTTCTATATTAGTACCTTATAACAAATATGGACAAAGAAACTATGAGAAGGGGTGGGAGACAGACCCTAGGAAGAAAAGTAGAAGAAAGAGATCATCACAAGGATCCAAGAAAAAGAAAACATCTCAAAATATTTAAGTTCTAATCTACAGGGAAAATTCAAGATTCCCTCAGTCTTTCCATGAACCTTGATGATATCCAGCAGGAGTGATGATTTAAACATCCAGACTAATTTCATATCCATTCATCAGTATGTCTTCTAGACTCCTTCGGGAACAGAATTCTGTCACAATGGCAAACATTCCTGAATTATAGAGGAAGCCCAATAAAGGGTTAAAATCCTCATGATGCAGGTTCTTTATCTGGAAACAGAGGGAGAAAGAAGAGTCACAGCTGTCCTGTCTCAAATGGGGATACATACCCTTCTTCACCCTTTTTACGATTGTTGGTTGTGGTAAGCAGAATTTTGACCTGATGATCTCCAAACCCTAGTGTTACTCCTGTGCTTGTGTTATGTGGCACAAAGTAGAGTATCAGAGTGGGCCTAATCTAATCACATGAACCCTTTAAAGCAGAAAAGAAGGGATGAGACAAACTCAGAGATTCAAAGTGTGAGGACTCAATGCTCCATTCTTGGCTTGAAGACTGAGGAAGGAGGCTACACACCAAAGAATGTGGTTAGCATCCAGAAGCTGGAAACAGCTCTTAGCTGACAGCCATCAAGGAAATGGGGATCTCAGTCCATCAACAGCATGGGACTAAATTCTACTGACAACCTGAATGAGCCTAGAAGTGATTTCCCAAAAAAACTCCAGATAAAAGCCCAGCACAAGTGACACCTTGACTTCAGCTTTGTATGATGCTTAGTGGAGTACTCTACTGAGTCCACTTAGACTTCTGAGTTACTGAACTTTGAGATAATAAATGGGCATTATTTTAAGCCACTACACTTGTGCTATTTTGTTATGGCAATAAGGTTTCTAGTCACAATTCCACTTTGTGTGTGTGATGGGGATCAGAGTGGTTTCCCACACAACCAAGCAATTTTGACACCAGCTAGGTGTCCAATAATTCAACTTGATTCTGGCACTATTTACCTGTAGATAGAGTCATATCCCACAAGTTAAGGGTTCAATCCTACAACACTTCTTTAACCCACCTGAGACACCAGTCATAAGTCCATGTCTCCTGGGTTTCTGACCTACCAGCTATAGATTGGAGGTTTAATGAACTCCTCTTTAATTTTAATTAATTTGATACAGCAGCTCATAGAACTCATATAAACATTTTACTTACTATATTACTGGTTTATTATAAAAGCATATAACTCAGGAGCAGCCAAATAAAAAAGATGCATAGTGCAAGGTAGGTAGAAAGGGCATGGAGTTTCCATGTCCTCTTCAAGCTATTCTCTCCAAATCTCCATGTGTTCACCAACCTGGAAGCTCTCTAAACCCTGTCTTTTAGGGATTTTATGGAGGCTTCATTAAAAAGGCATGATTGATTAAACCGTTGGCCATCGGTGACTGATTCAACCTCCAGACCCACTCCCTTCCCCCAGTGTCAGGGTGGTGGGACTAAAATTTTCAACCTTCTAATCACATGGTTTGTTCCTCTGGCAACCAGCTCTCATCCTTAGGTGGTTTCCTATAGTCACCTCATTAATATAACAAAAGACACCTTTATCATTATCATCACTTAGGAAATTTCAAGGGTTTTAGGAGCTCTGTGCCAGAAATGGGACAAGTCCAAACACATATTTTTTATGATAAATCACAATATCACAGGCAATGATAAAAATAATGCAATCGTCAAAGAGGAAAATTTCAGAGAGATATTTCTTAGCATATTGTAAGTGAATGCTGAAGCTGTGGCCTTCCTAATACTTTCGGGACTCTGTGGAGTGAAGCTCAGTGAATCAGGAGAACTAAAGAAGGTTAATACATTAAAAGGTGGAATAGATTGCCTACAAAATTTGTTTCAGAAAAAACATCTAGAATTTTGACTATATTTTCCCTTTGCAACTATTACTTTTTCACTGATGTGAGAAGCATTTATGTGTCTGCAATGTCCAAGACACTGGACTTCATGCTAGAGATGCAGAAACAAATAAAATGAAATCACTATCCAACCTAAACCAGCTAAGACAGATATGGAAAATCATCCCACACATAGCACAGTGGGCAGCTTTTTCTAAAAGTTCATTGTAGCAGCTCTTATGGACCAAGCAGCCAAAAACTATGAGACACTGAACTTCTCTGTTGGAAGACAAAGTACAAAGTGGTTATGTCAGAGACTGCTAGCAGTTCAATATAAATTCACTTCTTTTTTTTTTATTGGGAAAACAATTAGTCCACATTTTTCATCCTCCCTTGGAGCTAAGTGTAGCCATATTATTGAATTATTTGCAATAAAATATGAGAGGAAGTGATAAGTGATATTTCTAGTCTAAGGTTTTTAAGAAGTGGATATACAACTTTCATATTGTTTTTCCACTTCTATAGATGAATGCAGATGATGAAAAGGCCCTAGGAGATAGCATAATCATAATATTGTCATATATTGGGCCTCTGAATTGCCATATTAGAAGAGAGTCATCAGCCAACTAGTAAAACCTAACTTATACTGTTCTTTGGATGAAAATTAAACTTCTTCTGTGTTTGAGTCATTAAATATTTTGTGGTGTTTTATTATAGCATCTAGCTTTACACTAGTAGCCCAAGCATGAAAAATTTTAGGCCTAAATTTTCCCTAGATCTTTATAGTCATATGTCCTCAGCTATAAACAATAGAGAAGATTCTGTATATGCAGTCATATTCTACTCATATTCTGGACAACCCCAGGAAGCAAAGAATACTTCAAGCACCTATGTTAGCCAGTTGGTAATCTTAACATTTACTGGGTAGGCTTATACTTCACCTCTGCCATAATATGTCCCTAGCTTATTATCATCAAAAGATCAAGAGTTGAAGGTGTACTGTCTCCCAATAATATAAGTTTCACAAATCTTTTATGTTCAAGGAGGAGTCAAGATTTTAAATGATTTGGGAGCATTCATTATCATCCCTGCCTTATCATCAGACTATTTTCTTAAATAAACATTCCAAGAATTTTTTTGAACATAACTGGTAGGATTGGGTAAGTCACCATTTTTCTTATGTAAATAGAAAATATGAAAAAGGAGCAGCAGATTGAATGGAAGCTACGCTGACCTCCCAGGACCAAACTGGAATTAAAACTAAAATATAGAAAAATCAGCTGAAATAACCAACTGAAGACCAGCTGGAGAGAACCCTTATCACTAAGGATGTAAAGAGGATCCCACATTGAGTCTGGTAGGCATTACAGAGGCACGAGAGAGCTGGCTGGGCTCCCATAGGAAGCCTGTGAAGTTTCCAAGGGATCTCAACTGTAGGGGGTTCCCCCTGAGAAGTCTGGGGGACTGGGCACCCAAGCCCAGAGTGGCAGAACTGGGAAAGGTGCCCACAGAACCTGGCTTGGAAAAGCACTGGAGGTTCTGTCTGGCAAGGAGAAACAGCTGGAAACACTGGCACCCGCTTGAAGGGCCAGCACACTAAATCATCTACAGCCATTCACCTTGGGCTCCAGCAAAGGGAGATCTGAATAGACTAGAGCTGTGTGAGCAGAGTCTGGAATTTAGTGCTCTGGAGAACAAGCTGGGAAGGCAGACACCAGGAGCCATGTGCTGAGACCCCATGCTGCAGAAGCCATTATTCCCAGGCAGAGTGTTTCGATCAAAGCAGCTTTAGGAGGGATTCCAAAATGGTGGCAGAGTGAATGGAAGCTACACAGACCATTTCCCAGGACAAACTGGAATTACAACAAAAATAAAGACAAATCATCAGGAAAATGCAACAGAAAAGCAGCTTCTAGGACCACATAACCAGGTTCACTGACTCAATCCTGGTAGGACCGTGGAGGCACAATAGGGGGACTGGGAGCCCACGGTCCACAGCTCGGCAGTGGCCTTAGCTGGGAGCAGTGGCCTTAGCTGGGAGCAGTGCCCTGAGGTTAAACTCCCAAGCAGCTCCAAAGCACAGATCCAGGACAGATGCTAAAATAGCCACAGCCACTTACCTTAAGCTCCAGCAGAGGGAGGGCAGACTGGACTCGAACTGTGTGGGGACACTCGAGATTTGGAGGGCACTCAGAGCTTTTGCTGAGTTGCGGCCACAAAAAAACATTGGTCATCTTACACCTTCCCAGGTCTCTGGGGAGAAGCAAAGGCCCCTCCATTGGAGATTCAACCCCACCCACTGGCCAGTGAAATGCAAATTGAGGCCCATTAACAACCAGAATCTGTCCCACCCTCAGGAAATCCCCTTATGCTGAGCACCTGAAAGAGTTTTTCATTCAACTGAGAGCAAAAACTCTTCAAGTAACCTCTATTGATAGCATCCAGACAAAAAGCTGGATTAGCAACTCTAACCAGGAAAGTAGGACTTGACAGTGGTTTTTAATGTGGGTCCTCCCTGGCTCATCCAAACCCAGTAGAGGGAGCCATAAACAGCAGAACACCAAAACCCACAGGGAAAATGTGGCAGGCTCCAAAACCCACTGTGATAGCCAAAATGGTGAAACACAGAAACAAAAGCCAAATGAAAGAAAAAGAGACCTCTACAGAAAATGAGATAAATAAGGTGCAGTTAAACAAGTTAACAGAACTAGAATTCAAAGCCATGATCTTGAAGAAGCTCAACAGCATGTGTAAGGACATGAGCATCATGAGTAAAGACATAGAAATATTGAAAATCAAGTTGGAAATTAAAAACCAAGAAGAAATGAAGAATGATATATCAGGAATAAAAAAGACACTGGAAGGTATAAATAACAGAGTAGAGGAAGCTGAGAATCGAATCAGTGAATCAGAAGACAGGGTAGAAATAATCAACCAATCAGAAAAAATAAAAAACAAAAAATAAGAGAACTGTGGGACAACTGGAAACGGAATAATATTCGCATCATAGGAGTCCCCGAAGAAGAAAATGAGCAAGGGTTAGAGAATATATTTGAAGAAATAATGACAGAAAACTTCTCTAATTTGGTAAAGGAAGAAGGCATTCAAGTTCAAGAAGCACAGAGAGCCCCAAGTAAGAAGAACCCAAGCCGGCCCACACCAAGACACATAGTAAACAAAATGCCAAAAATTAAAGACAAAGAGAAAAACCTAAAAGCAGCAAGAGATAAGCAACAGGTTACCTACAAAGGAAACCCCATAATGCTCTCAGCTGACTTCTCAACAAAAACACTACAGGCCAGAAGGGAATGGCATGAGGTAATCAAAGTAATGAAAAATAAAGATCTGAATCCAAGACTACTCTACCCACCAAGGCTATCATT